CCCACACACCCACACCCACACCCTCACCCACACCCACACCCACATACCCACACCCCTCACCCACACCCTCCCAGAACTTTTGTCCGGCACTATAGTTGACTTCTTTTAAATCGAGTTTCAAAAAGTAAGCGAGATTAACATGTTTTTCAAAGGAGTTGACGAAAAAGTTATTTAAAACAAATGAGAATGATGTATGTTTTTACTTCCGAAGAACACTAACAGGTCTTTGACAGAATGTCTATGGTGCTGTATCCGCTGTTGCAGACAAAAATGCCAGTCGTATTATGTATGTTCAAATCACCGAAGGCCATCGCAGCCGGATGTGAGCCGAAGCCAGATGTGAAAAACACTGGACTTGCAAAACTTCCATTGCCATAACCAAGCAAAATGGCAATGTTGTTGGCGCCATAATTAGCGACTGCAAGATCAAGCGCAGTATCATTATCAAATAGACCTATAATCAGTGACCGCAGTGAAGAGAAATCTTCAATCAAATATGTCGTTAGACTAGAGAAAGTGCCATTCCAATTTCCAAGAAAAATTCCAATACTATTCGTGCCGGACTTGACAATAGCGATATCTAGTTGATGATCTTGGTTGAAATCACCAACGGCGACAGAATTCGGATAAGAATTATCACCAGTTGAATACTTTGCTTGACTTGTGAACGTACCATACCCAGATCCGTAGAGTATAATTAGTTCGTTGGTTCCTTGATCAGCGATGGCAACATCCAAAAGAGTATCCTTATTAAAATCCCCTACAGCTATGCTTACTGGTTCAGAAGACTCTCCGATTTGATAAGGTTCTGTAGCAAGTAAAGTGTCACTAGCATATCCAAGAAATACACCTATATTTTCTCTTAGCATATCCGAATACGCGATGTCTACCCGATCATCGTTATTGAAGTCGCCAACGGCTACCCCATAAGGGATGGAATTATCGCCCGTGGCATAGGTAATTTGATTGAAAAAAGTACCGTTGATATGTCCAAGAAGAATGCCCACAGTACCGCTACCATAATTGGCAATGACGATATCCAGTCGACCATCTTTGTTGAAATCTCCGATAGCGAGCGACCACGGATCAGATTTAATGCCTGTTGGATAAGTCGTTGAATTTGAAAAACTGCCGTTGCCATACCCAAGAAATATACCCACATTGGATGTTTTTTTATTCGCAACGACGATATCTAGTTGTCCATCGTCGTTAAAATCGGCGGCGGCGAGAGCAAATGGATTGGAATCAATATCAGTTAAATAAGTTCTTTGATTTGAAAAACTGCCATCACCATACCCGAAGCAAACAGCTATGCTGTGAGCGTCAGAATAAGCAACGGAAAAATCTAGCCAACCATCATTATTGAAATCGCCAACTACTAGCCCATGCGTGTCGGAATTATCACTATTTGGATAGATCAATATATTTCCAAAAGACCCGTTGCCATCTCCAAGAAGAACACTTACAGCCTTATTGTTAGGATTATTAACGATAATATCGAGTCGACCATCGCTGTTGAAATCACCAACTCTGACTACATCTGCGCGAGGAGCCCCAGACGTCATTTTAATTTGAAAAGAGCCATTGCCATTCCCAAGAAGCACAATAATTGGTGCTGGAAGCATATTAGTAGTAACAACAACATCGAGTTGATTGTCATTGTTGAAATCGCCCACATCGACTTCTTGTGGATATATACCTTCGTCAAGTGAGACGGTACTTTGATTGGAGAAGTTACCGTCACCTACCCCGAAAAAGAATCCTATATTGGCATCCCCATTGTTGGCAACAGTGATATCAAGTCGGCCATCATTGTTAAAATCCCCAACTGCCAAGCCATGAGGCTTCGAACCAGATCGAGTTGAAAAGGCTCTCACACTTTCAAAATCCACACTGTCACCACTAAGAAGTACGCCAACACTTCCAGTACCAGAATTGGCGACGACAATGTCTGGTCGATAGTCATTGTTGAAATCACCAATAGTGATCGACTGAGGATTGGAACCCATACCCGTTGAATACGTCGTATAATTTACAAAGGTTTCATTTTCCTCTCCAAAAAGAAGATATATGTCATCTCCTACTGAATTAGCGATGGCGATATCCAGATGACTGTCATTGTTGAAATCACTGAGGACGATGCATGCAGGATAAAATGTCAAATCCTCTGAGTAAACAGTCTTCGTTGAAAAGCTTCCATTTTCATATCTAAAAAGTACATCAATACTGTGCGTACCATGGTTGCCAACGACGACATCAATTTCGCCATCGTTGGTTAAGTCACTGACAGCAATGGCTTCAGGATGTGCAGCAGATCCAGTAGAACATGCAGTGTTATATTCAAAGCTTGTATTAATGAACGCAAGAAAAACACCAACAGTAGATGCCTTTTGATTTGCAACGGCAATATCAGTTCGATTGTCACTATTGAAGTCGCCTACAGCAATTGATATTGGACCAGAACCATCTCCAGCTGCATAAATCGTTTGACTCCAAAATGTTGCGTCTCCATAACCGAAGAAAATGCCCAGATTGTCAGCACCCCTATTTGCGACTGCAATATCAAGGCAACTGTCGTTATTAAAATAGCCAATGACTATTGAGAGCGGGTCGGATTTAACACCAGTTTTGTATTTTCCATAACTTAAAAAGTTTCCATTTCCGTTCCCAACTAAAATAAGAACGTGTTCTTCCTCTGCAAGTGCATTTATCACCGCAATATCTAGGTTGCCATCGTTATTCAAATCAGCTACAGCGAGTGCCAAAGGATAAGAGAAAGCTCCAGTTGAAACGATCTTTTCATCTGCCATTGCCCCATTGCCATATCCCAAAAAAAACACATAAATTGTCGCTGTAGTAGTTCGCGACGGCGATATCTAGTCGATCATCGTTGTTGAAATCACCTACAGCGACCGCACGTGGACTGAAATCAGATCTAGTTGAATAAGTAATTTGATCTTCAAACGTTCCATTGCCATATCCAAGAAAAACACCTACGTTATTCCAGCCAGTATTGGCGACGACGATATCAAGTCGGCCATCATTGTTAAAATCGCCTATAGCGATCGCTTTCGGACCGGAATCGATACCAGTTGAACAAGTCACTGGACTTGAAAAACTACCGTTCCCATATCCAATAAGAATAGCTACGTTTTCCGTGCCATGGTTGGCAACAGCGATATCGAGTTGATTATCATTGTTGAAATCACCTAAGGCAATGGCGACTGGATTGGAATCAATACCAGTTGAATACGTCATTGAACTTGTAAAAGTTCCGTTACTATACCCAAGCAGAACACCTATATTGTTCGTGCCAGAATTGGTGACGGCGATATCTAGTCGACTGTCGTTGTTAAAATCACCGACAGCGATTGAGTACGAGTGAGAATCATCTCCAGTTGGATATAAAAGAATGCCAACAGGATAATAATCGGTGCCAGATGAATAGGTTATTTGACTTGCAAATGTGACATTGCTAAATCCATTGAAAATCATCACATGATTATTTTGTTTATCGGCAATAGCAATATCTAGTTTATTGTCGTTGTTGAAATCAGCAACGCCAATCGAGCGCGGACTGGATTGAGGGCCAGTGGAACAAATAATCTGGTGCTCGAACGTTCCATCGACATTTCCAAAAAATACACCCACACTGTTAGTACCATTGTTGGCGACTACAATGTCAAGTTTGTGATCATTATCAAAATCTGCAATGGCGATGAATACCGGATTGGAATTAGGACCTGTGGAATAGACTACTGGTAGAGCAAAACTTCCATTTCCATATCCGAGAAGTATCGCTAAGTTATCCGTTCCTGAATTAACGACAGCAATGTCAAGTTGTCCATCGTTGTTCAGATCAGCAATTGCAATGAAGTACGGATGAGAATTAGTGCCAGTTGCATACGTAGTTTGCATGGCAAAAATTCCGTCCCCGTTTCCGAGAAATATGCCTATATTGTGCATGCCAAAATTAGCGAAGGCGATATCGAGTTTATTGTCGTTGTTGAAATCACCAACTGCGACTGCATACGAAAGAGAATCAAAGCCAGTGGACATAGTTTTCAGTGCTGTGAAACTGGCATTACCGAGTCCTAAATATACACCTATACTGTTAGTTCCATAATTGGCTATCGCAATATCAAGTTGTTTATCATTGTTGAAATCGCCAAGAGCTAGGCACAATGGGCGAGAAGATGTGGTATCAATGGCTGTTTGATTGCTAAAATTTCCGTCACCATTTCCGAGAAGGATCCCTATACTATTAGTACCGAAGTTCGCGACTGCTATATCCAGTTGATTATCATTATTGAAATCACCGACAACAACCATGCGTGGAGCTGAACCATGACCTGTCGGATACGTCATTTGACTAGCAAAATAACCATTATCGTATAATAGAAATACGCCTACATTGTCAGTTCCAGTATTGGCAACAACAATATCCATTTGATGATCGCTGTTGAAATCTCCAACTGCGACTGACTGTGGATTAGAACTATCCGGACTTGAAAGTTGAATCACATGATTCAAAGTAGGCACACACTTTGGGCCTAAAGAACATGAGAGAAACGAGGTGAACTCTAGGTTGCTCAGTGACTGAAGTGAATCTATATTCAATAAATCATATTGGATTTTAATAATTTTGACAGTGTCCATTAGAAATTTTCACATTCCTAGAATCAGTTTTACTTCACTATTTTCATTTCATGCTTTGATATTCTATGGGATTATTATGACACGAATGAATAAAAAACGTGCAAAAATAGTCACATTGTATTTTTCGCCGGTATCTGAGAATTTTTCGGTTGTTCAACTGATTCGATCTGTATGAAACGAAGAAGTTAAATCGAGATACTTATTTATATTTTGTTTCGGGAGCAATTAACTAGAACGAAGTATTGTTTTTCATTAAAAAAATCAATCAATTGTATATAAAATGACAACTACATATTGCTGACGTTCTTATTGGATCTATTTCTGGCTTATTTGTGAAGAGGTAAATGGGTATGGTTGTATGAGTGCATGTGGCTTTGGTTGTGTGTGCGCATCTTCTATTAACTTCTATCTGCATTCATATTTATATCTTTTATCGCTTCTTCTGTTTGCTAATCATCGTTTTGTTGAAAATCATATCTCAAAATGTCGAAAAATTCTTTTTTGTTCCTTTTATAGATTTGAAGTTAATTTGCTATAATTCTTTTTCATTTCGAACTATCGAATGATTACCAATGTAATAAACTGATTAGAATTGTATTTTATAAGATATCTTGGCTAAAAATATAATCCTCGAGGAAACTCATACTTGGTGGTTTTGATGCTGTTAAGCAAACTACCAATATACCAATGGTCGTAGCTATAAATGTGATCGCAGGTAATACAAAGGTAGGTTTGGTACTTTTATTAAGTATTGAATAGCAACAAAATTTCCTAGAAAAGAGCAACAACAATCATATTGCACGTTAAAAGAAAAGGTCATACATCTTCTGTTGCATCGTGAAACTTTTCATTCGAGCGATGGTACTGTTCTGAACCTCTATTGCATTTTGCACCTTTGAAATCAACTTTGGATTCTCGTTTGCATCAACGAAGATATTCTTTTCAGGATGCAAGCTATCGACCAATTTACAACTATTATCCATATCAGTTATTTCAATCTACAAGAAAGCAATCGTAAAGAAACAACACATAATTGATATATGAGCATGTAAGTATATCTCTAATCGTGGGAAGTGTCTACAGAAAAGTGTCGATGGAATAGTTTTACGTAATCCATTCAGTTGATATACGTATAAGTGGACAACTGTTCTCTTCAATTTCAACGTTTTTCCAACTATTAAGTACATGTGTTTAATACTTTGGGAAGATTGAACAAAGTTTTTGACGATAAATTTATACTCGATCAAAATACATGCAAAAATGCTGCAGTATATTAAAACGATTACAAAAGCTGTTCTTTCGGATGTTCATTTCACTAGTTAACACTTATTTAGTATTTGTGGATTTCTATCAAAGCTAGTACATATTATTTCTTCTGTTTTAATTCTTTTGTATGGATACTTGGAGATCTACGGTCTTAGATATGTTTTCTAGCCATATTATTTTAAAACAGTCAAAATAATAACTTTAGATCCTTCGATCTTAGGCCAAGGCATCACAATTACCATATTTAGGATTGTAGTCTAGGCAAGTCAAAATGTTACAGAGCTTCTAGAAAGCAAATGCACATTGAAGGCTTTTTCATCTCATTTTCGATCTTTACAAAAAAAAGATATCGAACTACGTCGCGCTATGAACTTATCTATTTCTTTTGACAACGAACCTCAAAATCTGGCTGTATTATTCTTCACGACTGTTCTTTCAAAATTTTCAATTCCCCGTTAAATAGAGCAGAACAAGTTGTTCATTTCGGTTAATTTTCAGATCTAGACTTTTAGAATTCATGTTTTCGTAGCGATAAGCAAAGTCAGGGGAAAATTGTATTTAATAATAAAATTGAAGGTTGTGCATCATCTATCCATCTGCAGCGGCATTCTTTTATCGAATTGTATATCGAACTTTTGAAAGAACATTCGGCAAAGAATAAAATTTCAGATCCGGAGCTAGTTTTTCGATGAAGTTGACGTTTCAGTCTGCTCTGCTACTATTAGTCTATGGTTCAAATGAAAACCAAATATAAATATCTACAGAACTCCATGGGAACTGCAAGACTGGCGTAGTCAAACTTTCTCAGAAAGAAGTCGATGTAAATCGATGATGATTCAAAATCTCTGATACGTAGTTGTATTTTACTCAATAGGCTTTACGAATAAAGGAAATAATCAGCAATGTTCCACTTTAATGGATAAAAACAAAAATCGAAAATTTGAAAAAAATTTGATTCGTGGTTGTGGCATAATGTGTAATAAGAATAAAAAGCCATTAGACATTTATGCACTTCTTTGTTTCAGTGAAGCCACTTCTGCTACCCAAGCAATATCGGAAAGGATTAATGACGCACTTATCACAGATAATAAATATAAAAGGATATGAATTTGTTGAGATTCTATGAGCATTATCTTAATATCGATACGATACTATGAATAAAAAAATATCGCACTGAAAAAGTACTTTATAACAAAAAATTGTACAAGGAATAAAATATATAAAATAGAGGTAAGTACAGGACAATGTCTTCTATCCTGTCCTGTTCTGTACTCTACTCTAGTACGGAGGTATACTGGCAGTAAACTTTGATCATGTTTATCTAGAGGAAAGGGTTACCTATGATCGATTAGTTTCGTGGTTATCCAGGTAATGTACCAATTGATTTAACACTATCAAGAGAGGGTGACAATACCATTTATACGGTACACATGCTGGCTAGTTCGATAACGTTCAGCATGATATGAATCTAATTTTCTAATCAGACAATACATATATCGAATGATTATAAAAATGAAATTCTACGCAAGCACTCATTATCGAATTCAATATGTTAATTTAGTAAATAAATGACACAACAAAGAAAAGATGTAACTAGTAACACTGATACTACATAGCGGCCATGATTACTCTCAAATAACTTGTTTCACTTAAAGAATTTGTAGTCAGATTTGTCTGATTACTTTTGATTAAGCGCTTTTTGGACCGATGATATATATATTCGATGGGATCTCTTTTGAAACCCAGACAATATCTGCGTAACTTTAGGATTAAAAATAATTCCGTGTGCACTTCGTATACAACTCATATAAAAAGATGTAAACTTTAAACTACTTTCATTCAAAAGATGATTCAACAAATAACCATATGGAAATAAATTCATCTGCGTGCACCTTTTTTGTGTGATTTCTCGTTGCGGAATAAATGTGAAATTTCAAACCTTTCAAGGTAAAGAGAACTCAAATGTTACAGTCACACTGATCATGATTACAAAGTTATCCATTCCTTCAGTTGACTCCAGAAAAGGATTCATTTGCGCTATAACTTTTTTTGTAGCAACCAGGGCTCAAACAAGGTGCCTTTTTTCCTTCTGAATATTACTGAATGTTGCGAGATATGCCATATTTAATCTATAAAAAGATTTTGCAACAAAATGAATATGCACTCCGCTTTGACTAAAATGATAATAAAAAAAAGTTCAGTTCGATCGGTTTTAGTGCGAAGGAGATAGTGGAAAAAATTAAAAAGTTTCTTCCAAAAGTTGTTCCGAGGGAGACAAAAAAAAGAGTGCAATATTGTCTGCTGTCATTGTGCGTGTCTTGGTATTGTTGCCTCTTTTTTCGATTGAAATATGAGTTCCAATTTTTTCTTTACGTGAAGTAAATAGAAGATAAGTGAAACTATATACCTATCAGAAGAAAAAACGAAAAGCTTAAAAATTTTGAATCGCAATGTGCAGAAGAGAAAATTTTTTTTAAGAATGTTGCTTTTTTTCTTTACAGAGAAAATTATTCTGTCCTAAAAGGACTACAATTCAAAAATTTAATTATGGCACTCAATCTGGAGATCAGTCACCTCCATGATAGGATGTAAAAGTTCCAGTCTCGATTGGTTGACCTGGTATCCAACTTGATCAAAGACCTCTGGAGTCAAAGCATCCTAATCAGAAACTCTGATTTCAAATTCGGAATCTTCGATTACGAAAACCTTCGGTGAAAAGCAGAAGTATTGATCATTGGATCAATACTAGGTCAGTTTACTTTAGATCCAGTAGAGCTGGGTACTCATTTCAATTGGACTGATGCATCTCTAGCGTAATGACCTAAATTTTGCTATATAAAATGTACCAAAAAAAAGCACATTATATGGAGCCATGATAGGTATTAAGTTCCGATTATGCCACACTAATAGATTAAAAGGTCACAGCGAATAATGATTGCTAATGGAAAATCTGCGTTAGCTACAGGTCATTAAAAAATGTTAGCTCTTAACATGTTGTGTTGAATCGTTTTTATGACAGTTCACCGACTGCTCCTAAAAAGCAGGCATGTTTAGAGAGCTAATGAACTGTTACTCATAGATATCAAAGCTGAGATTGTTCTCACTCACTTCAATCGAATAGGAAAGCAAAATTGACCCCATAGTATTGATAACATAAATTTTATAATGAAAGCATTTAATTGTTTTTCTGATAAATATGTTTTCGATTATTTTCAAAAAAGAGCCATCAGAGCAATGTAATGCGAACAATATTTTACGGTTTAGAATCCTTGACTGTTCATGAACTGTCATTTTTAGAAGTATATGTTATTCAAACAACAACTCTTCAATTATTCTGCTCACTAGAATCAAGACTCCTGATTTCTTGAACATATGATTCAAAGAAAAAAATATGTTAGCAAATGCTTCGCTACTAACAGAAAAGATATGAACCATCATTGTACAAAACTAGTTGCTAAAATACTTGCTGATATAAAAATTCTCTTATCAATATGATACAGAGTAATTTCAGCAACTATCAGAAG